TTAAAAGCAATTTTCTGTCCTTCAAAAGACACAATCACATAAACCAAACAAATATGAAAGACCTGAACTAAAAGAATAAAGACTCTTTGGAGATGGGAGGGGGATCTAAAGGAGACAGAGGGGAAAGGAGGTGGATGGAAGGAGGAGAGGTGAATAAAAGTGATCAAGAGGCAATTTGTATATATTCCAATTTCCCAAGATGAATGTAATTGCTGTGTATCACAAACTTACACCTATAGAAATGTATGAAAAGCACACACTGAAGAAAGAGAAGAGACACCCATAGAAAAGTAGAAAATCTTTATAATTCATATATTCATTCATTCATTGCATCTAGAATATGGAAAGAATTTTTATAATTTTGCTAACAAAAACATCCAGTTAAAAATTATTAAAGGATACTGTACACCAATAATGAACTCACCAGCAATGAAATCAGTAAAACAATACCATTCATAGCATCATGAAAAATTGAATACTTAGGAATTACCCAAGGAAGTGAAAGATCTCTACAATGAAAACTAGAGCACACTGAAAAAGGAGATCAAAGAGAACCCTGAAAAATGAAAAGATAATCCCTGCTCCTGGAGCCAATACTGTGAAAAAGGCCATACTTCTAAAACTGATATAGAGTTTAATGCAATTCCAATCAAAATGCCAACAACATTCCTCACAGAACTAGAAAAAACAATCAAAAAATTCTTATGGAGCCAGGCATGGTGGAGCAGGCTTATAATCCCAGATTCAGGAGGCTGAGGCAGGAACTGCTGCAAATGTGAGGCCAGCCTGGGGTATTTAGCAAGTTAAAGGCCAGCTTGAACTACATAGCCAGACAATGTCTCAAAAAACAAACAAAAACTTCATATGGAACCAGAAGAGACTCAGAATACCAAAAGCTACCCTGGGTTATGAGAACAAAGCAGGAGGCATCACGATCTTGGATTTCAAGTTACATTACAAAGCTACAGTGATAAAAACAGCAAAGTACTATCACAAAAACAGATTTGTCGATCAATGAAACAGAATATACGATGTACCCGTACACACACAAAATAGATATATTCCCTGTTCTTTGAAAAAGGGGGCAGAAACATACACTGGAGAAAAGATAGACTCTTTAGCAAAGGGTGCTGGGAAGATTGCCCTTACACATGCAGAAGACCCCTATCCCTCACTATATACAAACTATAATCGAAACTGATGAAATATCTATATATTAAAACAATCTACTTGGAGATAAAGTATGTAAAACTCTTGAAGTCATTGGCATATGGAAGGGCTTTCTAAATAGAATGTGAATTGCACAAGAAATAACATAAAGAATCAACAAATGGGATTACATCAAATTGAAAAGCTTCTGCATGGCAAATCGAACAACCAACAGATTGAAGAAATAACCAATGAGATGGGAAAAAATTTTGCCAGGTACACCTCAGACAGAGGACTAATATCTAGAATATATAAAGAAAAAATTTAGGCCCCCCAAAATAAAAGACCAAATCAAACTGCACTACAGAAATAACCAGACACTTCTCAGAAGAAGAATGGCCAATAAATGCATGAAAAAAATGTTCTACATTTTTAGTCATCAGAGAAATACAAATGAAAATATCACTGAAATTCCATCTTACTTCAGAAAAAAAGACTATCATCAAGAAATCAAATAATAACAAATGCTAGTAAGGTTGAAGGGTGGGGGGCCTTCCACAGAGCTGATAGGAATGTACAACCCCCATGGAAGTCAGTGTGAAGATTCCTCAAAAACCAAAAATTAGAAATTCCATTCAAATCATCTCTTTCCTTACTAGGTATCCTCGCAAATGAGTTAAAAATATTGTATTACAGTGATCCACGCCTACCCATGTTTAATAGCAGCACAATTCATAATAGCTAAATCTTGAAAGCAGCCTATATGTCCATCAACAGATGAATGGATAAACAAAATGAGGTATATATACACAATGGGGTATTACTTTGCGATAAAGAGGTCATGTCACTTGTGAAAAAGTGGATGCGCCTTGATACCATAGTGTTAAGTGAAACAAATCAGACATATAAGCTTAAATATCACAGTTTCCATTATACGTAAAACCCAAAGTATAGTAAATTAAAGAGAAAAATAAAAGATAGATAATAGGAAACAAGGAGGTAGATCTTTTGCAAAAAGGGAGGAGACCAAGATTGAGGGACATGGGAATAAGGGGAGAGGAAGGGGATGAAGGAAGGAACTAAGATGTTATATGCACGTACTAAACTCCCCAAGATGAATGTAATCATTACATAGTGCAAACATGTACTAATACAAATAAAAATTTAAAAACAAAAATAATTAGCAAAAGATATTGCATTAGTTTCCTGTTTTGCTCCAACAAATTATTTAAAAAATTTTTGAGCTAAAACACTTCAAATTGCTTTTCAACTTTGGTGTATGTCAGAAGTCTCACACAAATGTGAATGGACTAAATTCTAGGTGTCTTCTGAACTGTATTTCTTTCTAGAAGACATCTGGTTCCTTGGGTTATGGCCCCCCATTTCCATTTTCAAAGCAAGCAAAAGACACTAAAATATTTCTGATATCACAATATTTTAATGTTGATGTTTATTCTAACCCCAAGAACAAGGATCCTTATGATTCTAAGGGCTCTTATGATTCTACTGGGCCCACCTAACAATAGAAGGTAATTTCTCTATTTTAAGATCAGCTTATTTCCTGTCCTAACTCCAACTGAAACCAGAATTCTCTTTGCCATGAAACATCACACACAAATGTGAGAAATTTGGATAAGTCATGAATCTGCCTATCACAAATATGAGAAATTATACAAATGGAGAATAGCATATAGAAAGACATTCTTCATCATCTGTTATTGGAGAGATGGGAATGAAAATCACAATAACATGCCACTTTGTGCCCACTAGTATGAGCATTAATAAAAAAAAGTATACTAATAAATATGGTCAAGGGCATGGAAAAATTTGAATGATCAATTATTTTCAGTGATAATATAAAAATAATATAATCACTTTGGCAGAGTGTGAGAGTTTCTCAAAAAGTTAAACATCAGCAACATTATTCAGAATTGCTAAAACATGAAAATACCCCTAATGCCCTTCAAATGATGAATGGGCAAAGAAAAGGTGTTATATCCATACAGTGGATTATAACGTGATCGTAAAAAAAATAAAATAGTTACACACTACAATGTAGAACTTTGAAATGATAAAGGAAATAAACTAGACATAAAAGGCCATGTAAAAATATAATATTTATAGTAAATGTCCAGAAGAGGGGAATCTATAGGAATTGAAAACAGATTCCTGATTTCCAGGAACTCGTGAATGAGAAGAGGGAATGACTTCTAATGAACATTGGGTTTTCTTTTTGGATTAATGTGAACATTGTCAAATTAGTGCTCCTGGTTGAATGACTGTAAATATATTCATATTGCTGAATTGTACACATCAAATGTGTGAATTATATGGCATTTAAATATTTCAATAAAGATTTTATTTAAAGAAAGAATAATCTCATCACATATCTAAATAGTTTCTGGACGTCATAGTTCTCCAGTAACCACCATACTTTCTATATTTACATTTTCTTGATTCAAAAATTATTAATGCTGAATAAATCCAGGAACAAAGAGAGGTAAAAACAATATTAAGGACTCAGCTATCAGATATGCTTAAAAATATGCATGTTGCTGGGGAAAAGAAAATCAAGTTGATATATTTAAGAGACTTGGACTGAAGAAAATCTAGGAAGCAGTGAAAAAGAAGACTTTTCATATAATGTGGTTAACATCTGTTGTTGTTCTATGAAGACTTTAAATCTATCATAATTGAGAGTGGGTCATACTAATTAAGCAGCAAGAAATATAAATAGGAGCTACATGGATACAATAGTTCTTGATTGCAATTAAAAGAAAATATCCATCAATAACTTTATGAGCTACGTCATTACCTAGTAGGAAAAAAAGATGATAACATAACAAACTGAAGTGAAATTGAAAGCACTAGTGCTTGCTACATTTAGAGCAAGGTTCGTCAGAATTTTTTCCTATAAATTACAAGACAGAAAATATTTTAGTTTTTTTTGTTTTTTTTTGATGGGGTTGGCTGGAAATGCAGCCCATTGGTAGAGCACTTGTCTATGCACAGACCTGGGGTCAATCTCTAGCACAAAAGGGAAAAAACAGACTTTATGGACCATGCAGTCTTTTCACATCTACTCAACTCTGTCATTATACCATGAAAACAGCTTTAGAAAACAGGTGAACAAATAAGCTATGTTCCCAAAACAGTATTGACCAAAAAGAGGCAACAGGCCGGATTTGGTCTGCAGACCATGTCCTTCCAATGCCTGATTTGGAGGATATGGAAAAGAGTTGGTCAAGTAGCAATTATAAGTAAAATAACCCTTGATATGTAGAAGTTGGCCTGGTGCCCACAGGAATGCCTTGGTGTTTTCTTTTACTGCTTTGCACCAGCAGAACAAGACCTAGACCAGGTAAGTATCATCAGTTTCACTTTTCAAAATTCTACTCAACGTTCAAGGTCATGAACATGCTATTGTCCCATTAAGACCTTTCTATCTAGCTGTACATAAACACACACTGTTCTCTCTGTGGCTTTCTATATCACAGTATTACAGTTCTCTTTTACCATGTTCTACATTCTTCTTAAGTAATATCTGTTTGTGTATGTCTGGAAATTCTGTATTACATTAAAACATCTTAGGAGCAATAACCATGTTTTGCACTTCTTTAATTTCCCTAGAATTTCAAGTACTTTCCTGGCACTTGACAGGTACTTAAATAAGCACAGATTATTTATGACTATATGTACAAAAGTATTCATAACTAATCCTAGGCCATATGAGAGGTACATTTATAAGCATCAGTAGAACAAATGTATTTTTTAATCCTCTACACAGCAATTTAGCAGACCTTAAAATGTCTGAAGCAATGTGGAAAAAGAGCAAAGAAAACTTGTCTTACCTGGATACAGCCTTCATTGATCTTTCCCCTATTAGGATCAATTTTAAAATGTGCAGTTTTTGGAAAATGGTATGTCACAGGAAGAAATTCAGATTGATTTTGTACAATGCACACAACATCTGAACGTTCACCCATGAAACAAGGTTGAAATTTAAAGAATTTGCCGGAATGGAAATGTAACAAGACAGGAACTCCTGAGCCTGTCAGTGCTAATTCCACCTTCTGAAATTGATCACCTGGAAAAGCAATAATAGCTATTGAACATAAAAGGTGTTTGAGGAATCCAAAATATATTTGTTTAATCCACACAGTGTCATTTGAAAGACCTGAAGAGAAATTGGTAGCCCATTCAATCTTTTCATTCAACAAAGTTATTGAGAACCTTCTCTGTGCCAGGTACCCTGCTAGGCCATGGGGATATAGCAGAGAAGAAAGGAGACTTTGATCTCATTGACTTTACCTTCCAGCAAGCAGTATCGATAATAATAAAAAAAAAAACTATATGTGTAAATTCATAGCATTTCATAGAAAATGGTCGCTATTGGTAAAGGTAAAATCACATGAGACAAAGAAAATACAAGGTCTTCAGGATGTTGGTTTATGTGGAGATGGCCAAAATGTCCTCTCTTCTAGGGAGACATTTGAGAAAAGGTATACAGGGAATCTGGAAGAAATTCATGTGAACATCCAGGAAAAGTATATTTTAAGCAGAGAGAACAGCAAGGACAAACAATCTAAGATAGGAACTTGCTTAACATGTTCAAAAAACCCTGCGGAACCCAACATGACTAGGGGAGAGTAGTAAATGACTAATGAGAAATGGTCAGATTTTGGATACACTTTTTTTTCATTAAGTTTATTGGTACATTTTAGGTATACAATATGATGACATTCATCATTGGGAATTTGTACCTTTGCATGATATATCTTGGTTCTTATTTTTTCCCCATTCCCCTGCCCTCCCTTCAACCCCTCCACCCCTCCCTATTTACAAACACTTTGCTTCCATTTTCTCCTTTTCTCATATTTATTCCTTTCCCTTCTTTCCTTTCCTCTACGCTTCCCACTTCCCCTTCCCCTTTGGACCTTTTCTTCCTATTTCACATTATCTATTATACATTTTGATCCTTATTTACACTTTCAGTTTCTCACACCAGAGAAACTATTCGGTATTTATACATGTGTGTCCTATTTATTTCACTTAAGAGTATGGCCTCAATATGCATCCATTTAGCTATAAATGTCTCTAGTTCTCATTCTTTATGGCTGAGTAGTACTCTATTTTATAAAAAAAAAAAACCCACATCTTCTTTATCCCGTCTCCAGTTGATGGGCAATTGGGCTGTTTCCAAGTTTTAGCTATTAAAAACTGTGCCGCTATGGATACACTTTTGAGGGTGCAGTAAATAATATTTTCTGAAAGATTTTATGGAGGATAGAAACATGAATAGGTAATAAACAATTTTACTAAGTGTTTTGGCTTGAATAAATGAAATGTTGCAAATATAATTTCTTAAGTCAGGAAACATAGAAATAGGTTGAGGGAAAACAAGAATTCCATTTGAACATGTTAAGGTTGACAGGTCTAGTAGATATCCTATTGGCAATATGAAGTACCACAATGTGTTTGCAACCTTAGAATGAAGACAAAAGAAGAAGGACTGGAGGAGTAAGGAAAGAATAAAGGTGTGTGATATTCACCTGAGATTATGAGAAAGTGAATAAGTGGGGGAATGTAATAGGGATGTCAAACACTTTAGAGAAACTATCATGAGTCAGTGGTTATAGACATAAAGCATGTTTTCTTTGGTGTGTTTTTTAAATCCATGGTCTCATATGCATATCCAGGGTAGGGTGAAAGTTAAATGAAATACAATTACAGTTTTTTCCACTTAATCGGTATGTAATATGGGACAAAAAATTAAATGTACATGAAAAAGTGATTAAAATAATGGACAATGGAAAGAAAAAATTATGAGAAAATAAAAAAATGGAAACAAAGTCTATGTAAATAGGGAAGGGTGGAGGGAGTGAAGGGCGCACAGGTAATGGGGAAAAATAAGAACCAAGATACATCATGTACAGGTACAACCACCCAATAAATGCAAACATATTGTATACCTAAAATGTACCAATAAAAGAATTTAAGCAAAAAAATGGACAATGGAATATAAACTAGGAGCAAATATAAACAAAAATTTTCAGACAGTAAAACAAGATGAGAACTAAGGATTATAGACAGTAGTTGGATGAAATAAGTTATGCAAAAAGTGATGTAACTAGAACTGAAAAAAATTCACATTTCTTCATTGGTGTTTTTCTCATCCAATTCTAGACTCTAAGGTACCTTTAAGGCAAATCTAGGATTTCCATCTCTAGCTATTCAAAGCTACATTTACCTGTGTGCTTCATAAAAATCTTCTCTGAAGACATAGGTCAATGTCATAAACCATGACATAAATGGTAACAGCAATAAATTTCTGCCTTAGTAACAGTCAAATTTTACTAGATATCACTCATACTGATTTGCAAACTTTCTAGACTCCACACACCTATGTACCTAAAATGAACCTACCCCTCCATGGAATGGTTCATTTTTCTGGATTTGATTTCTAAATTGCCTATTTCTTTGTTTTAACCTTGACTTGTCTTGCTAAACTGATGTCAAGTTCTGTTCCACTTTTTTCTTTACTTCAACCAACCAATATTAGCCAAGAATGTAAAAATCATAATACATTTTGACATGTGACCTGAAAAACATATGCATTTATCAATATCTCATGACAGGGTGATACACTCTATTTACTACATCTCTGGGTCTTGTTCTTTGTTATTATATAGAGAGATTTTAAGAGAACTAAAAGTATGGTAGAGATGAAATGGGTCATTTGTTTCCATACCAAGCCCTAAGAACAAACATAGGCATACCAATAAAATAAAGCCATTTTTAATTCCCTAAACTCTAAATTCTGTTTATTTAATGCCATTTTAAAATTATAAAGTCATATAAATGGAAAATTATTATGTAGGTGAGTCCAAGGTTGACTTCGTTTTTAACATGCTACAAATAACATATGTTTGCATTTCTGTTCAAACTAATAATTACATACTTTTAATAAGTTGCCTCTACAAATATGAATGTTCAAAATCTTAAACAATTTTACTTTACTTTATTAATTTTGCACTTACTTCTGATAGTTTTAGAGTCATCATCTCCCAAAAATCCATCTTTACTTCCCACAGTCTCAAATCTCAAAAAGAGAGCATAATCTTGCCTATGTAAAGGGTCAACATCCATTTTACAATCAGCTATTAGCCTGTAAAAAATCACAGTCAGGTTTTCTTTTATTAGCAGTATATTTTTTCTATACATAATTACATTCATCTTGGGGAACTTGTATATATACATATAGCATTTTAATCATTTTTACTTCCACTTTTAAAGCAAAAACAACAGTCTATTGCCTCTCAAAATAAATTATCAAGCCAATCCTTAAATCTATGCAAGCAAATGAAAGTTAAGAAATAAAAATACAACCATTATCCATTTTCCAGAATTACTGAACTGATATAGAAACTTGACAGAAGATCACTGAATATAAAGCTCAAAAAAAAAAAAGAAAAGAAAAGATTTCATGCAAACCTTTCCACAAGAAAAGTAACTTCAGCAGAGGAAGTTGTCAAGATCTGGCTGAAATGCTACTTTCTTTGTAAAGGATTTTCTCTCCAGGCAAAATTCATTGCAGACTAAGAAATCTGATCAATTCTCTATAGTAATCATATTTTATTTTACCCCTGGGAGTAATTGAACATGTCTGTTAATGTTTATCTTCCTTGGTGGAGTAAATGCATTTTGCCAGCCAAATTTTTGTTTGTGGACAACAAATAATTTATAAGATTCGTTTAAAAGTTAAAATTTTATTAATGAACAGGAAAGGGTGGATGGGAAGAAGAAAGTAGGAAACAAAGATAGACATGAGTTACATCATAAATATGCTCATTGGATTGGAAGTCCACTCTTCCAGCAACAAATACTCAAATACACAGAATAATGTAATATTAAACAGAAATATAAATGGCATTACCAAAACATATTTAACCAAGACTTCAAATCATACTCATGCATGCTAGACTCTCAAATGAAGTTAACAAGCTGGCGTAGAAAAAAATATTTGAAATTGAAAAGATTGTGTGTTAAAATTTTATAAATTCATCAGAGAAATTTCCTGCATGAAGGTATCATTAATAATAAGGAAATTTTTTCTTGTACATGTAGGACTAGTGCTTGATATACTGGCCTTCTTAAATTAAAATACAATTCAGTCTTCAACAGGCAAGTGATATGACCAAGTAACTTTGTTGCTACAAAAACAGGAGTGCACTGAACATAACCTTCTCACAAGTAAAGGTATACATAGCTTGCAATTGGATCACTTCCTGACATAAATTGCAACGTACCAAGGTGTCATTGCAGTTGTTACTATTTTATTTAAAACAGCATTTCCAAAAATATTTTTAAACTAAATAACAAAATCAAGTACACAGAACTGTAAATACATATATGCACGTATAAAAAATCTTTATGGATTTCAGCAAACAAAATAGTTGATCCCACCAGGGATTGTATGCTTAATACTCATGACACTCAGTGAAGAATTTTGCCCTGCCAGGAGCAATGAATTCTATGGGGTGGCACCTATAACATACTGCAATCACCTGACTATCCCTGCAGGAACAAGAAGTTCATAGCTGCACAAACTGGCCTGGGACTACCACCCAAGGTAGCCACAAACTTGTACTTCCAACATTCCAGTTCCATAAAGTCTGGAATGATTTTTAACTTAACCTCAAGCATGTAGTATCATATTAACAAATATTGAAAGTAATATTAACTATGGTGAAAACATTTAGAAACGTAACAAGGAAAAAACCAATTTGTGCCTTCTGGCAAATATTACTATGATGTTATTAAAATCAATGTAGTTTAAGTGTGGTTAATACAATTTCCATTAATACTAGACATGAAAATAATATCAGTTTTTGCTTACTTTGGCCTGAAACAAAATGCAACTACAATCTTTTGATGAGGTAGTAAAATCCCTTCGTTAGGAACACAGTAGACAATAGTGGTAGTATCTATAGCTTTTATTTTGTTTAGATAGGTGAGATTATTTAAAGCAAAATCTGTTCTTTGTTGAATATTTCCACCCTGTAATATAAAATCAGAAATAAAAGCAAATTAAGTCAAGACAAACAAAAATATTTTAACAAAGGTGACAAAACAGTTATTGAAATGTCAAAATCTAGATAACAGAAAATATCTGTCTTTAAGGTAACACAAACCTAAGACTTGACTAAGGCGCATGATAAAATTTAAAGAACTGTTGAAAAATTAATGGAAATAGGAATCTCCACAATTAATCACTGATCCGTAAGAAGCGCTTATTTGGTTTACTTCAGATATACATTACTACAGATCCTAACTTAATTTACTGGATATTTAAGGTTACCCTTGGATACACATGAAATCACCTTTACATGCCCATGTTAAAATACATTTAGAATAATTAAAGTATTTGTTGGTTATCAGTAGATTCAAAACAATTTCTTTCAAGGCCTAATACCTTCTATATCAATGTTGCACCGTTTACTTACCAATTCTTCTCCAACACAATCATTTTGCATTACTGCTACCCAATTTATAGGTTCTGGGCTATTATTATATAGAAGTCCATGTTCAATTTTTGATGTTCCAAAGAAAACAGAGCCAAAGTGTATGCATTCCAATTTTTTCTCATCACTCAGGTTTAACAATTCAATAATCTGTTGGACCACATGAGCTTTAATATTCAAGTGTTTGTCAGGACGACCTTGCAATCTCACACTACAAGATAATGAAATATACATATGCATAAATATCTTAATTAAAATTCTATATATTTTATTTTTCTTCTAAATATATGGAAAAAAATTTATAAAATCACATTATAATTAAAGTCAATAACCTAAGAGCAGTTCCTTTCACATATATGCCAGTGGCTATCAGATCCTTCTGTCTGTCCGAATCTATGTAGTAGAATAACACGTATGTGACCTAATTCATTATAGGAAAAAACAAAGATGGAAAACTCACTTATGAATTGACCCTATAAAGAACTCAACAAATCTACCTCCACAACATATCTTCAGTCTGCACACTTCTCTCAGTCTTCCCAATCTGTGCCTTTTCTCTGGCCTTTATAACTTTCCTCTTGCTGTTCTGTTATAATTTCTAGTCAGGCTGCACCTTCCCCATTTGTACACCTTAATCTCTTTTGCACAATTCTACTAGGATGACTTTTCCAATGTAAGCCAATCAAGGCATTTTCTTCTTAAAATCTTCCTGAGACTTCACAGTGAAAGCTAAGCTCCTATCAGGGCTCACAACTATTTCTCATACATTTATGATTGTAACTTTCCAGTAAGAGATATATTTTCCTTTGCAATGTAGTAGCACACACAAATTTTAAAAAACAGAAAGATGATTTACAAAACAGCATTTCCCTTGCGATGGGACATGCATTCTGGTATTTTCTATTTCATTCTGTTAAATACAGGTGATGACTAATTGTACTAATTGCACATACGATTAATGAAATTAGATATACCTCATAAAAATCTTGGCCTACAGTCCTTTACTGAATCTCATGTCGTTCTATTTTTCTGATCTCATCTTTTTTAGTATGTGTTTTCAATACATTATAATTATATTCATCTTGGGAAACGGGTACATTTTCATTCCCCCTCTCCCTCTTGCCCTTCCCTCCCCCTTTCCCCAGATCCTCTTCCCATTTTGCATCACTCCGCACATCTCTGATTCTGTATTGCCTCAGATCCCTCAATATATAATACTGTCTTTCACCACTAGTATTTCAAGTCTGCTACTTGCTCTGCACAGACACATACACACATACTTAATCACGTCACTTATTTGCTGGCTAACTTCTCCTCGCTGATAAATGTATAACTCAATTATTCCCTTACTAGTGGAGCGCTCTCCTGGACTCTTCCCTTAACTACACAAAATCCAAACTAAAGGCTCCTATTTTATATATCTATGCCCCACCCACTAGTTCTTCCCACTACTGAAATTCCAGTGCTTGGAAAATAGTAGCATCTCTAAGAATGAATACTAAATAAAAGAAAAAGAAAGTAATATATAAACAAAGGTACATTTGAAGGGTGAAAGAGGAAAGAGAACCATATTATAATTACAGAAGCATAGCACACACTTACTTTGCCACTTCATTTACAACTCTGGGTTGGTCTGCACAGAAATCTACTTTGATAGTCATAGAAGACTCAGGCTTCACAGCACCACAGGTTGGAAAAATGAGGATAGGTAAGTGACCGCGGTATTCCACGTTAAACATACCTAAGTAGAGTAAGAGAGATAGTTTACATCTCAACCCTTACAATGTTACATTTACAGTTTCAGTAGGTAGATACTTGGGTCACCCTACAAATGGGAGCTTAGTTTTAGAATTTAACTCTTATCAACAAGTAAAAGATACTACCCATTTGCTATGTTCAGACAATTACACTAAGAACTCTGCATATTAATACAATTGAATCTTCATGAAGACCATACGATACAGGTTCAGTAATTTGTCTCCATTTTACAAACAAAAAAACATATGCTGGAAAACATTACTTCTCAAAAGTCAAACAGCTGTTGAGGAAGATTAATTTGTTTCAGTTTGTTTGTAAGGTAAGAGCAATTCACATTTCACAGTATTCAATTAAAATACACCTAACCCAGTTAGTACCAACACTGCATGGTCACAAAATAATCCTATAATACTTAAAGACAATGTAGATTATTTTTCTTTAAATACGTGGACCCAGATATGTAGCTTAATTTTATTTCCTTTATCTCATTAAGTAATATTATATATTCAATTAAAATTTAATTAATATTTCTTTTTTACTCAGAGCTTTCACATGTAATAAAATTGTAAAATTTTGTGAGATTTTAGAATAAAAAGCATATATTATTAGGGATTATAGATATATCACAATGATACATGATTGAGAGACTTTTATTTGTATTAGTTTATTTTCTAAAGATGAGATACGTATATGCACAAATTCCTCAAGATTAATGAAATTATTATGCATCACAAATATATACTAATAAGAAAGAAGAAAACAAAGCACTGAAAGCAAAATGACCAACATTCAATGTGGAATAATTATCAGTTTTATTCTATTATACCCTAGGAAGAAATCAGTAATGTGATGGATTGATTTTGTCTTAATACTTGCCAGTGCTCAATCAGGCAGTCCCAGTCAACAAACCTCAGTTAGTGGGAAAGAAGTTTAGATTTAAGATCTGGTTTATATATTCAACAAGCAATCGGGGTGGGGGAGCACTCTCTTGTCTAGAGGTTGTCCTCATACTACATTTGGAGAAATAACAATCTTGCATACTGTGATCCTGACCATGTAATCAAAAGACTGAAAATATAAGTGATTTTATGCCTACTTTATTCCATCAATGAATAAGTGTGTATGAATGCATACACATGTACACACACACACACACACACACACACACACAATTTCATGGAACCTCTTAGGTCACAATAAGCATCACTGAATCCCAGCCTGGAGAAGAGAATTTCAAGAAGAAAGAAGCATTTATCCTTTCAACAAAAGAATTCCTAAACATCTTCTAGAGACTGTGATGTGAATTCAAAGTTGACTGTGACAGAGAAAGAGGACAAATATTTATTGAGAGCCTCTGATAAGCCAGATACCATGCACAACTCTAAGTGTGTACATAATTAACCATCATACATTTTATTACTTCTAGATTATAAAGAATCTCAATTTCAACATCCTTAAAGAAATTTGTCCCATATCACACAGCTAGGAAGGCATCATGCCCTAATTCTGTCTCTAGGTGGCTATAAGAACAGAACAATATCACTTCTATGACACCTTCCTGGCTCCTACCCATACGAACATCACCAGTCATCTGAGAGTCAGCTATGTTAATCAGAATTGTAAGTAGACAGAGCCAGGGATTTAGCTCAATGGTTCCAGTGCCTGCCTTGCAAGAGCAAGGTCCTGAGTTCGATCCCCGGTACCAAAAAAAAAAAAGAATTGTAAGTAGACAGATTTATTTTTTCCTGAGTTACTGTATTTTCTGTTCTTTTTAGTCATACTACTTAAAGGTCTTTGGTTTTGAGCTATTTCAAATAATAGATGTATTATTGAATCAGAGAATCTATCTACTAATAACACAAGATATACATTTAAAAAGACATAATTTCATCTAAAAATGTAAACGAATTTATACAATTGCAAGCACTTACCTGGAACTGTGCCATGGTTACTAATAGTAATCTCTTTCGAATGTAATTTACTATTTGAAACTAATGTGCCAAAATCAACTACTGACTCAATTTCCAAATCACAAGATGGAATCAACCTGAGAGGAGAAAAAGGGCCACGTAATTAATTGTAATAATCATAATAACTACTTAGTTAATTCCAGAGGGACATATATAGACACTTTTAACTCGTTGAAACACATTTTAGTTTCCTTGCACATTTACTGATAATATAGTTGCAATAAAATAAAGATATGGAAACAAGATAATGAGATTTATTTTTAACAAAGAAATCAGAATTTATGCACTTAAGTGCATAGTATTTATTCTCTCTTAAATATTTAGCCTTGAGAGGCTACATACTTATTTCAGTATTTAGGTTACTCAAAAAATATTTGAAATTTTTGGTCCACTTAAGTCTACAATATGTTATTTGACCTTCCTCAGAAAAGGTGGAACTGACCTTAATAAAGTAAAACAGTTTGAATGATTTAAAATGTGATAAAATAAAAGGAGTAATTCTGTAACATATAAATAATTTGGGGTATAAAACAAAATCTAAGTACAAAATTATACAATTGGAGTCTTCACATGTGTCTCTAACCTAAAGTGTTCACTATAATTCATACATGTTTTTTCAAAAATTGTCATATGCATATTTCATAAGGATACATTCACTTTATATTTGAATAGTCATTTATAGTTTACAAAGTTAATACAAGAGTATTAACCTGTTTGGTACTACAAAATTTCCAAAAGTTAGGGAATTATTATCACTTCTGTTTTTAAAAAGAAGCCAAAGACTCAAAAATTTTACATGATTTATCTAAGCAGCGGTCTGGATATTGATTGCAAAGCTTAGAATTCATTTTGTTAGGCTTCAAACATAACAATAACACCAGTAATAAACATAAAAGGAGATCATTATTTAGTTCCTAGTTTGAGTGCAAGAAATATGCATTAAGTCATTTACTCCTCACAATACACAATCTCCAAAATACAATTACATGCATACATACATACATAAAGGCATACCGAAAGAAATGGATAAATAAGGATATCTGAACAAAACAATTTCAAATATTGCTTTATGCAGTGGCGAACAAATAATATTTTCTGGCCTTCTTGCTGAGATATGTGTTTATATGTGAGTGTCTGTATAACATTGGATAGTTATAGATACAGTAATCCAAGGATCAGTCAAGACTGTCTAAGAAATACCAATTTTCTTATCTAAGAGAGATTATAACTTTGTGCCAGGAAAAGGAAATAAAGTACTTCAGTATACATAATTGCATCAACCGTGAGAATACTGGATCTGAAAGAGGAGCCCATTAGACACATAATATGAAAAGTAAAGGCAAAAATTTGTTTTAAAACTATCTCACTAGAGATAGAAAATGGTCTTAGGATTCATTTCTTAGCAATCTGCACACTTCTCTCTCGTACAAACAAATGGGAGATAGAGGTGAGAGGGGAAGGGGAGGGCAGGGACAACAAAGTCAACATAGAGAAAGAGAATCTATCTCCATATTGAGGATTTAGTTATACACTACAATTTATCTGCTTCTCCTATTGATTTACTTTACTCTTGTATAAAAATCTTGAAAACTGTTCTGATTCCATACACATAAAAACATATAAAGACAGCTGAAATCTAAGTACAGCAGACTATCTAGCTAGCCATCAGAGGAAGTGCCAATCTAATGGCTACAGTTGAAGTAATCTCTGAAGAGGAGAATGACAATGACATTTTTGGTAAATGGAAGCAGTCTTCAAACTCAGGAATGCTCAGAAAGGTACATGACTATCTTCTGGTAGAAAAGCATCTTCCAGTTTTGACTCATTCATAAGATATGGCATCTTAATAGCAAATTAATATTCCCAATTTTTTCTTATTCCCTTCTTCACAATTCCTCTTCCAATGTTTCATACAAAAGGGCAGCTGGATCACATCTTTCCTTATTTTAACTCTTATTTATTGTTTTGAAGTAGAAACATTTCTGAGACAGTACACTATAGGGAACTTAGAAATGCTGGTATTAATATTGAGAAAGTAAATGACCAAAATGTCTAAGAAATCTATGTGCATGAAGATGATTTCCAGTTTTCTTCTACCAATATTGAGATAGGCGTATACAGTTGAGTTTGTTGACAAACTGTTAAAAATACTTGATAAATATCTGCTTAATTTTGCCATATATGGTAAATTTAAAGAGTTCAAAAAACTGGAAACCACTACTCCAATAAAATCCGTCTGCTTCAATCTACTCATTACGGAGATAATTTTTCAATATTTACATCAAAAATTTTAAAATGGCAATAAAAGTCATGTAGAATCCATTTAAGCAATAAGTAAACAGCCATGAACATGCTACCTAAATGATATTACTTTTATGTTAAGTATCAATTTGACAGAGGTTAAACTCTATATTAGTGTCACTCATAAAAATGTTAAAAACGTATATATTTGACTAGAAGAAATCTGTTAATAAACATATTTATATGCATAATATATACATATATTCATATGTACATCTACACAGACACAGTGCATGAATTATATAAAAATCTGCATATGCATTTTATCCCTGGCGATTATGAAAAAAATTCAAACCAAAAAAGGTTGACAATATGATGCTGTAGATATAAAATTAGGGATTGAGGATATAGCTTCGTGGTTGAGCCCTTGCTTGGCATGTGTGAGGCCCTAGATTCAATCACTAGTACTGCCAAAAAAAAAAAAGAATGGAATACTACAAATTTAAGGGCAGAAAGAAATGGGGCAAATTTTTCAACTGTTTACAAATTACTATGTTATTGCCATTCTGCTAGATATATTTTAAGGAGGTATACACCTATTTTTTAAAACAACATTTACTACATATAAGTAATATACATATAAGTAATCACAACTTTGCAACTATTCAAATTAATGATGAAAAGCTTAGCTATCTTAAGTGTGCAAGAGGAGCATAGTTTTTAGCAGTACAAGGAAAAAAATGTTAAAAATCACTAATTATATCATGTATCTACAAGAGCATCTTTGGAATTCCAGAATGATTTATAGAAAGATAGAAATTAAAAAATTAATTTATCTATGAGTTGCCTTCTGAGGACTGACTCCATAATAAATACAAGAGGTATTTCATGTTTGATCTTTATACATAAAATCTGAAATAAAAATGACATTTGCCAGGGGTTTAGCTCAGTGGCACTGTGTCTCCCTAGCAAGTGCAACATCCTCAGTTCGATCTCCAGTACCAGAAAAAAAAAATGATATTCACTCCAAGAAACTGTCTTTTCTTAACACATTCCATTCATAAACATTGTGGAACCAGTTGGATTATTCAATTTTGAAAATATTTACCAATATATATCATTTAAACAATAGTGGAAAATAACCCTCATTAGACTTCAAAGTTTTTATAATATAATGTACAGAAACAAATACAAATTCTGGTCTGGATAAGATTTCATGAAACCATTTTTCCATGTTACTCCCCACTAAACACAACTATATACCCTGAAAATGGTACAAAAGTCGAGCAAAGGAGAATCATTAAACTGTTGAAAGGAAAGCTTGCTGGTTTAGGACTCCAGGACTGCTTGGACAGTAGGAATAGGGTGCTTTATAATCCTCCAACAGAGGAAGGCCATTCAGACCCAGTATTTTCTGACTGTTGACCTCAAAGTCAAAAGCAGCCCAGTTAGGCTCATTTCTCCTGGATAAAATGAGAATGTCTCTGAAAATATTATGTGAGCCTGACGGCACCCACCATGGGGATCAGCTAGGAAGTCTAACAATCATAAATGATAAACAGAACGACTCTCCTTCCCTAACTGTTGGTAACCTCCTTTTCTTCCAAGAGGGATCATAGTAGTTGGGGAAAATAACCAAAAGAACCACTAGCAGCAAGCAACTACATATGGAAGTTCTTTTTGTCTCTGCTAACACAAGCCTCTTCTTCCTCATGGAAAGAAACCTGGAAAGGGAAGCAGAACCAATAAAAGAGATCTAGATACAGCAACTGGAATAGCAAGGCAAACCTCACTGCCCCACAATTCAGACTTTATCTCTCTCTTCCTAGAGGACCTACTCAACCAGGGAGAACTTGTATAGGGATCTCATCATACATCCCCACCAAAAGACATCAGTAACCACGCCTAGAAAACAATACCTGCAGTTTTTCAGGCAGCACTATTAGGGAACGGTGGGAACACTAGTAATAACATACAAATCAAATGAATCAAAATAATACCACAAAGATATTGAAAATTAAACTGTCACTGAAAGCACAATATAAAAAAGGAGAAAAATATTCAATATACAATGAACAACTACCTGGCATACTAAGAACTAAGCAACCTACAATTCTAGGAGAATCCCCCCCTCCGGGGGCACGCCCACCAGCGGCCAGCTTGGCGGTGAGGTCAGAGCTGTCGCAGGTGTCTGCGCCCTGCTCCCTCGGGCTCGCTCCGCCCGCTTGCAACCAGGAGACTGTGAGACTATTTTTTTTTATAAAGTGGAGTACTACTCAGCCATAAAGAATGAGAAACTAGAGACATTTATAGCTAAATAGATGCATATTGAGGCCATCCTCTTAAGTGAAATAAATAGGACACACGTGTAAATACCAAATACTTTCTCTAGTGTGAGAAACTGAGTGTGATTAAGGATTAAAATGATTAAAAAGAATAATGAATAATTTGAAATAGGAAGAAAAGGTTCAAAGGGGTAGGGGCAGCAGGAGGGGAAGGGGAGAGATCAGAGTTACAGGCTGGAATCTAGAAAGAATCCATATATAGATTGTGTTTAAAACTATAGGAAGAGATGTAGGTAGAGACTACGCTGGAGCACATCAGTGGGTTGGGGAGGAAGAGTCACTGAGATCAAAGGAGAGAAGGGTGTGTTTTCAGAAGAAACACATACAACTATGTATAGTACACAGTACTCGATAGTGTGATCAATGACTGTTATTGTTTTAGATATCTATCATAACATGCTGTGCTTTTCATCTTTTAGAGCATAATCCTACTTTTATAAAAGTTTACTGTGGAACAGTGTGTTGCTATGCCAGTGGTAGCCTCATGTATCTCGTGTTTAACTGCGTATTTGGATAATATCAAGGGGCAACCACAGATGATTGATGTATACCTTCTCAGTTTGCACTTAGAAGTTGGCACTCTGTGTGGTACTTCGCGATACACATGGATGAAATTCCTAATAACATATTTCTCAGGTTATATTTCCATCCCTTGTCACATGACAGTATTGAAATTTAAATTTTAAAAAAATTTGGCCAATGCGGAGTCTACTAGCTAATTAGAATTTTTTTCCAGACCACTATTTGTTCAATATTAGTTTTGAAAATCTTTCTGAAACAAATCACATCCTTTGATGTTTTGTTAATGCTTGAGATGTTTTTTTAAATTATATGGAAAAAT